GCATGTATTAGCTCTAGAATTACCACGCAGTTATCCATGTAGCAGTGTCCATCGAAGAAATTACAACTGCCATAATGAGCCACTCGCAGACTTAAGCTGCAAAAGGCCCCAGCCTAGGCAGGCGACAAAGATGGCACATGACGCGAGCCCTAAACCACAAAGTCACAACTGCTGAGGCACATATAATCCAAGGATCCGAGCCCCCGACGGAACGAAAAGCAGCGCCGCGATGTCCAGGATGCTCGGCCAAACCTCAATGGCTGGTACACATGCTATCCGCACTCACGGTCACTTGATCCTGAACAGCACTACTGTCGCCACCTACAGGAGTCTCCGAACGCACATGCGACCCGCACTCACAGTCACTTGATACTGTCGCCACCTACAGGAGTCTCCGAATTGATGGCGAATGCCATCTTAGTTGTGTGAGCCCAAAGCTTGCACCCAAAGCAATGCCAGGAACCCACACAAGAGGAAGTCCAAGCCAAGGCCCCGGCATTCCATTCCGCATGACACCATAGGTCCTGCAAACAAGAATGTGTGGAGCCATTGCAGACGAAGAACTTTGCACTTCCACTTGCCGGCAGCATCAAAGACCCCTTTTTTCCAAAAACTCGAGGCCGAATGATTCACAGCACTATCCACGGATGCCACCTTCGGCAGCTCGTTTGACGCCTCCTCTGCTTCGTCTTGGTGGAGGTGGCTCTTCAAACTCGTCCAGGCTCTGATCGCCGACGTCCAGGATCTGGTAGTCGCACTTGTAAATTTGGTCTCTGTATTCGACATACAGAATGGGCTCCGCCCGGCCCAAATCGTTCAGCAGAGGAATCGGCAGCCACTTGTACATACGGCGCATGAACCGCTCCCACAATGTGTCTGAGACCGCCGGCTGGTTTGCCAGGAATGCTTCGGAGAGCTCCACCTCACGTTTTTTTCTCTCCGTGTCATCACCGTCGGCAGACCCTGCGCCATCACCAGAGCCGGCACTTCCACCTGCGGGCGGATGATCCGCAGACCCTGAGCCATCACCAGAGCCGGCACTTCCACCTGCAGCCGGATGAGCCGCAGACCCAGCACCATCACCAGAGCCAGCACCCGGATGAGCCGCTGCACACACAAAGAGCAGCCATGGCAGCAAAGCGTGGATGAGATGCATGATTCACAAGACTGTCCTGCCTCTGAAGTCTATCTAAAGCATATCGCGAACTGATGCTCTGCTTGATTGCTGAGGAGAACATCGCGACTCTGCATCGATCACACTCCGCTTCTGCAGCACTTTACTTGCAGGCAAACCTGAGACTCAAGTTGTGAGATATGCAAGCAATCAGTCCTCGATCCGGCCAAAAACTCGCAGGTAACCTCCATCCAGCCTGAAAACGAGCTCTTGTTCTACAATGTCCTATAACGAATGTCGGAGGAAGAGTTTCGGCGCTTGAGGGCTTAAGGTTTAGTGGGCAGAAGGAGGCGAGGCGGGGGTACCAACAGCACAATGGATGGCACATGTGGGTCGGCGAAAAAATCAGATCAGGGCCGCACACAAAGATGGCACACATAGCTAGGAGTCCGGGCCGTCTGCAGCAATCTGCTCTACATCGCGGCGGATGCACGAAGGGATTCAGATTTTGCAGGCTTGTCGATAAGAGTCATAGGAGTCTGTTTTTATGCCTTCGGCCAACCAACATGCCAAGCTGTTGTTTGTTGGGGCTACAGGAAATGACTGCTCTTGGGCAAACTTGGGCCGCACGCCGCCGCTGTTTTCTGTGGCCCTGGATCTCTCGCAACGTGGAACTCACACAGGCGCAACAGATGGTCTGAGCACCCAGCTCCATCCCGACAGAGAGAGACTCGGGCTGGAATGCATAAGAGAGGTCTGAGCCACACGGCCGTGTGCCATCTATGTTTCGCGGCCTATCCAATCAATCCCTCGACGATTCTCTCTAGGGTCGAATGTTCAGAAGCCATCCATTAGACCGGTAATTCTACGGAATTCGGAGGAACCGTTGAGCCACCCTTGCGGGTTCTAAGATGGCATTTTGTCGATTTTTTCCGGGAGCCATCTTTTCGGGGCCCCCTATAGGCCTCGAGCTAACTGGCCACAGAAGCGGCCCCTGGTCCCTTTGCAAACTGGTTGTTACTCCTGCTCGCTGTAGGTGTTTCTGCACTCCCAGGATTGATTCACCCATCCACAGCAACTCATGAGCCATGATAAGAAACACCAACCTTCTTCAAATCAAAGAGTCAAAACCAGCCTGTTGGCTCGGTATGCTATGACAGTCCTCGATCCGGTCTGTGCTCTGACCGATCCGGTGAAGGCCTTCAACTCCAAGTCAAAAAGAAGTTCGCATTGCTTCGCAATCCGCGGCCCTGAAGCGGCCGCCTGGAACTCACTGTGGTGCCTTAGCAGGTGAAGGTGGATGCGGCGGTCGGCAGGACAGGATGAAACAGCTGGAAGTCCCATCGTCACTGAGCCATGCACCTAAGAATAAGGATGCTCAATGCGACCTCATCAAGCGCTTTACGGCATCCCACACAAGTAAAAGACATTGTTCATTCGAAACACATTCGGACGAATGATTTGGCATCGTCCTGTTCCTGTTGTCTTGCAAGAATCGAAGACTTTCTGCACAGATTGGAATGGGCACTGAGAAAGAAGATCAGGCATCAAGAAACAAATGAACCACTGGGTCGAATCTGTGCGTAGAGGAAACCGGACAGCAATTGGCCAGCCGGGTCATGCCCAGCGCGACAAATGCGACACAAGCTGTGTTTCCCAGAAAGGTGGGGCACCGCTCGCAAATGCGCAAAGGCCCTGGCACAAGCCAACCGTAGCGCCCGCTTCGCCATGCGGTGGCTGCAGCCTGGTAAACAAAGAAGCCTTCAAGGAAGAAGCGCCATGTCAAGCTTGGCACTAGCTGACTGCCCGAACGGACCATACCGTCGATTGTGGTCATGTAAGACTATCGTTTCGCGACCTACCGCTCTACCATTCACCTCTTGAACCTCCGCGAAACATCATTGTCAGCCACCGAATTCACACAAGCTCGCCGCACAGTCCAGGACGAATAAACCTTGCAGCAGACACAAATTGACAAAGCCATGCTTGGGCACGAGTTGGCCGTAGTTGCCGAGTGAAACTTGAGTGTCCATGCAGAGTTGGGCTAGGCTTCATACTTCTTTCGTGAAGCCCAAAGCCGGACTCGGACGGGACACATTGCCACTTTCGTCCCGAACAGGCATGCCTTGGCAAACTCCATCGACTCCGATCGAGCCTGCCACCGCGACTGGCATGCCTTGAAACGTCGCTAGCTCAGGAGCCCCTGGAGCCGCGCCGGGAGCCCCGGTGGCTGGCTGAGCGATCCCAGTCACCGTCCCTGTGGGCAGATCCTCCACCGGCACTCCTACAAGTTGAGCGCCATCCCGTTCTGCGGAGCTGTCTGGTGCCTGCCTTGCTTCCAAAAGCAGTGGTATGTTGCGTTTCGCGGACATTGCGGCAGCAACCGCACCCACCACCCACACCAGCCACATCACTGTGGACACCAAGTGCCACACTGCCTCGACATGACTGTCGGTCAAGCCATTATCTGTTGTGAGCGTTGGCTGGGCCACTGCCGCCTCCCCGTTTCCCATGCAAGCAGCAGGTTGCTGCCTGTAGGCTATGGCTTCCAGTACTGCTGCAATAAACCTCGCAGCAGAGACAAATCACGCTGGACCCGTTAAGGCACAGAATTCGGAGATGCAGGACACCACTGACTGAAGGCAAGCGACGTCCAGGCCACAAGGATGTGGCCGTATCGAGAAACGCCTACCAGTTGCGCTTCCTTCAGTGGTGCACCCTCGCCGCTGGTAACAACGCCACCATGCAGTAGCACACCCCAACCAGCGAATATCGCTGACACGATGAAACTCAAGGCCTGCGCAAAGGCCAAAAAGTTGGCTCAGGACAGCTCGACTGATCCTCACAACACCAATGGGAAACTCGGGCACCGACCAGGATATTGTGCCAAGAATAGCCATTTTGCTCGTAGCAGAGTGTCTCCGCTGAAAGGACACTGGCAGACATTCCCGACAAGACGAAAATCAGCATGAAGATGGCATCAAAGACAAGGCACACAGCGCCTCAAGTCAAGGCTCTGTACTCATAAAACACCAATGCCAACTTACTTAACTGATCCAAGCCGCATAGGACTCGAAATCGCTCCAATGGGGGCCGCTGATGCAAACATAAAACCATCCGTGCCACGCCACTAAGCTAGCTTCCAGCAAACATCCCCAAACAGATCTGAATCTGAGCCACTGCGAGGCCAAGCACACATGCGGAGAAGCTGCAAGCAGTCCGGTCTCAGTCCATTGGCACATTCTCGAGGACTTTTGGGGCGAAAGTTATCTATCGTTGGCACCGCATGTCTTTGACATGTGCCCTCGCAGCCATGCAGTGGCGCGTGTCCATAATGGTTCTGTACATGAGCAGGGCCTCGCAAATCTCCAAACCGCTAGCTGTCAAACTTGCTGGATTGCCATTTCCTCGGTCACCACGCGGATTTCCATGCGGGTTCCTGTCGCTTCGTCGCGCATGTCTTGGAGTCTCAGGCATCGGCAGAAGTCGTCGTGGAAAGAATCTCGCCTGGATATGCCCGAAACACCCAGAGCTTGAGTGGCGCTCTCTGAACTGCAGGAGCCTCCCGCGACGTCCTCAGAATCCTCGGAACGGCCGCCGCTGCTAGGAAGAGCATCGTCGTGCATACGATGAGCTTCGTCATCCATCCCACGTGCTTCTTCCGGGACTTCTCCCCCATCCAGGAAAGCCACGCGAGGCGGAAGGCACAACGGAATGTTCCACGCTTCGTCCTGCAAAGAGCTTCTGTCAATCGTCACAGCTGGCATGCAGTGCCTGACAGAGATGCTCGATGCTCCCAACTCGCAAACTGCGCCCCGCCCCTCACCTGCCCCTGAGTATGATAGGATGCTTTTTTTCGCCACTCACAGCTCGAGGGTTGCGGCGATTCTGCGAACAACCAAGCAGTACATATTACGGCACAACATCGCTCAAGAAGAGTCACCTTGGCCCAATTATTGATCTAGCTGTTCCACCTGACTTCAGAGTTTCCGGTTTCCAGCCCATTGCAACCAGTTCCAGAAGGCGAAGCGGTAGGCATCCTTGACATGTAGCACGCGACACCTACTCAATGTACTCGCAAGGCTCAACCCAATCTCGCTCAGAATCACGGCTCTTTGGCCCGGTGTCTAGCCTCTGGATTCTTGGAATGATGTAATTGCTCGGGAAGCCATGATCTGTAGCTGTTGCTTGACAAAGAACTTCTGCCTGAAGCAACCAACATGCAGGTCTGCAGAACCTGACTCGTCCCTTAGCAAAACCTGTTCCTCCCAGAAACAGAAACAAGCCGCGTAATGCATGAAACGTAAATAGTGTACAAGTGCAACCCCAAAGGCCTGTAAGGGTGGAGACTTTTGTTTGACCGTTTTTTGTTGGCCGTTTTGCTTTTTTTGGGGTGGGTGGGTAGGTGAGTGGGTGGGCGGGCGGGCAGGCGGGCGGGTATCAAAGCTTATCAAATTCATGCCGAGGCCAAAGCGTGTTCGGCTTTCCACCTGTATGTTGCTTCGAAGCCCACTTGTATGTAAAGACTTGGGCTTCCAGCCCCCCCCCCGCCTGCATCTACCCATCCCGCCCTCAGGCCAAAAAATAGTAGTAATTTAATAATAATAATAATAATTTGCTCCCAAAAATCCCCCATGTTATATCATGTTATATAATGTTGCACGTACCCTGTTATGGCCATTTGCGGTCCTCGAAGCTCTGCGATTGCAAGGATTTCTTCTTGTCCATCGAAAGTTCCGTCCTGCGCTGTCATGTGATGTATTGTTTTCGGTAGGCGAGTTCGGGCCCAGCTACTACTAGTACAGCTCCGCCTCTGAGGTGTGTAGCTGGGTGGAATTTGCACATGAGATTTCAACAGAGTGAAGAGACCTCAAATGCAGCAGAATGAGCTGCAGAATGCTCAATCCAAGCGATTTGCCTTGGAGCCTTGCTCTGATTGAAATCTGCGATCATCTGATCCATGGGCAGGTCATTCGGCTCATCTGACACGAGGCACCCCCACGCGAATGTCGCCACAGCATCTTGTACTGACATTGCACTGCGCCCTTCTCGGAGGCGACCATCACACAACTACTATCTAGATAAACAGTCGAAGACAGCGCACAGGATCCGCGCCGAGGGCGCTTACTGTTGCTGTCAACCCTAAGGCTTCCTACGGCCCTATGGGCTCTTCATGGCAAACATCTGGCAGCTCTCGCCTGAAAGTGTCATAATCGGTCGCTTGTTGGCTGTTAACTGCAATTGCGCAGTCTTCCTTTCTTTCTCTTGCTGCCCGCTTTCCTGCTTTCGTTCCGCCTTACCTGATTCCTTTTTCCCTTCCTTGCCTCCTTCTTGCCTTCTGTCCTTCCTTCCCTCTCCCCCTTCCCTCTCCCGCTCCCTCCGTCTACCTTTCTTGTCGTCCTCCGTCCTTACCTGCTGTCTTTAAAGCTTGTCTTCCGTTCCCCGCGTCGGTGCTTGGTTGCTTGCTGCTTGATGCTACGTTTGCGTACCCAAAAATCGTCACCTGCACCGCTTGCACAGAAGCTCGTCCTTCTGCGAACACTGCCCCATTTACCTGGCCGCGCCAAGTCGTCGACTTTTCTCTTTCACAATCGACGACTGTGCGGATCTCTTTTGCCATGTTGATTGCGGCCAGGATGTACGCCGGGTACCCCCGTATTCCCCGGCCGGTGAACTCTTATGGTTGGCAAGCCTTGCATCTTCGTTTAGCCATGTATCTCCTGCTATGTCTGCTGTGTCTGGCGAGCTTGTTGGTCCAGTCCCAGAGGAAGCTTCCCGTACCACCGATAGTTGCAGGTGGTTACAGCTCATGGCAGTGGCGAAGAAAGTACCCGCGGCCAGGGAGACGACTGACAAACCCCAGGTACAAATGGCAGGGCCTCCGAATGGAGACTCCAGTTGCAACGCAGTGAAGTGGATGCACCACCTGGGCTGATCACATCGAACACGCTGCGACATCGTTCCATCGTGTTGCTGATGCCGCGCGATTCTTGAACTCGATGGGAAGCCCCGTGAAGACGTCTAAGACTTCTGCAGAAACAAAGTCACCTCGCAACTGGTGGTCAATTGCCAGGTTCAGACACAAGCCACATTTTCCACGTGCTGTCCAAGCTGCCGCGAACGATACGCCTGCGCCGTTCAACGGCAGAAGCAGCATGCTGGAGAGGAGTGGCCTCAGAGCAAAGCAATGACTCCGGCACTCGCGTTTCCCAAGCTGTTGATGCTCTCGACACGTAAGTAAAAAGTCGAGGTGGCATTAAGCTCCAGTGGATGATCAGGACAACAATGCTGATCTGAGCAGGATTCGTACAAGGAGCCACCCTCTGCAAATAAGCTTGAAGGGCGAGACTTCTTGCCTGGTGATATGGAAAAGGAAACGGAAAGTCTGCAATCTTGCGCGCATTCTGCAAGTTCACGATTCCGCGAGACATCTCCTGCAATCTCTCGCTTTGCAGTGCTTCGCGGGACCATTCTGGATGCAAGATGCAGAGTGTGTGTACGAAGAATGGATTTTTGACGCGCACCTGGAAGACTCGAGAGATAACAGGTGGGGGGACCGGTAAAATACCGTCAGCCATTCGGAGAACCTTGGGTCATGGCAGAGCTACTTTATGCGCTTACGGAACCCTGCACAGCAAGAAAGACTTTCCTGTCTAGGAGCAACTGACCTTTGAATCCATTGCTGTATGACTTCCTCCCGGTCATCGATGCCCTGCAAGTACCTGATGCTTCAGGAGGTGTCAGAATCTTTGGTCCTCTTGACGCAAAAGTCTTACCGTGCCAGCACTGAGCCTCTGACTTCAGGCTGGCCTGAACCCAGGTTCATCGATGGGCTAGCGGGATACAAACACACAAAGTGCAGCTACTGGCAAAAGCCAGTACAGTGCTTTCTTTTCGGCTGCTTTCTTCTCTTGAGCAAGAACACTGTGGCTGGGCACAGCCATCCCCCCTAACCCTATGCCGCGACGCTCAACCTTGACACTTCATCAAAACACGACGACGTGAATAACCTGCGGGCTGTTAAGTCCGGGCAGGACCAACGAACTGGTCAACGGACAGACAAGGTTCGGGCATTAGTTCGAAGTTAGAACTTTAAGCAAAGCCCCGATGAGAAAAGAGATCTAAAGCCGTCAGGAATGGCGTACACTGCTTGGGGATGGCCCGCAAATTAAAACCTGGCTCGATGACACGGATGCAGTAGAAGCGGTGGACATTGCTTCGGTCGACTTTCCTGGAACTCTTTTGTCTGGTGTGTCGGGTCACATGCGGCAACTGCCACAGAGATGGATCCTCGCATTCAACAAAAGATCGCGGGGCTGCAGGTCGTGAAGAGACAGGAAACTTGTAGTTTGATCTGCAAGGCTCATAATAATCAGAACACGCTATGATTTGAGAGGACGACAAGGCCTGTTGCCCAATGTTGTCCAAGGTGGGCCTCCACCCGTGCGACATTGAAACACACGCGGCCACGCCGTTCATTTCGATGTAGCGCAACTTGCCGCGCATTCGCTGCAGATGCTGTTCTTTCCAGCTAGCGCATTTAGCATTCCCAAAAAGCAGAATTGCGCTTGTTGGGCTGCACTATGTGATGCCGGACATGCTGGAACAGCACTAGAGGCTTGAAATTTCGAGGCGTGATGGGGATACGTACAGGCGAAGCAGCTGAGCCGTCGGCTCACCCCCCCTACGCAAGTTCACTCGTATGGGCAAAGACTTGCTGTTCTTTCGTGTGGAGCTTGCGCAAATACCACTCCCTTCTTCCACAACACCCTACCTTCGACGGTTTAATTGGGCTAAAGACACGTAAACCAGTTTCTAGGGGTCGGTTTTGAACATCACATCAGATGTGTTCAAATCCAGATCCGAATGCAGCAGGCCTTGGAAAAATCGTCTGGGTTTGGCCGCAGGTCTGGGAAGGCGCTGTGAAGCAGATTGGTTGTGGGTTGATTGATGGTCGCGTCGGGGACACCCGAATTGCCCAATTATGCCCTAGTCTTGAGAAATGCCACTGTGCCTCGAGCTCGGGAAATCAGTGAAGCACCTACAGTGTGGGGTGGGACACCAAATTGTGTGTAAACCAAGCTCTGGCACATTTTGCAGCCTGAACAATGCATTTCCAATTGCTCAGAGCTCTGAGATTTTAATTTGCAGCATTTTATGGAGGGGTTGCACGAACAGTGCATGCAACCAAGCACATGTGCATGCTGCTGCAAGGCTTGAGAATCCGGGCTTGGCTTGGACTCCGGAAATCATGATGAAGCAGTTTTGGGGTGGGTTGCTAATGCATGGGATGGGACGCCAAAGCGCGCAAACCAAATGCCTTTGGGCTTGGTGTGCAATTTCACGGCTAGCCTGTAGCATTGTTCGTGCTTGGGTGTGACAATATGGTACACTGGATCTCTCGACAAACGCGCTTGGGCTGCACGGAGCTGCAAGAAGTCGTGCTCCCCGCAGCCAAACCTGCCCTGGAACATCTGAGTAGAGTTCGCTATTGGCCCGCCCCTCTAACGGCCAAAGACAGGACAGAGACCACCTTGCAAACTCTCGACGACCACCATTACCACGACCACGGCCACCCCGCCCCCGCCCTGAGCCTGCTTTTTGGATATCAAGCAAGCATAATGGGATCGAGATGTGTTGTGTGTGTGGGAGGGGGGGCCGCGTCCTTATTTCGGCTGAAGACCCCAAAGCTCTTGCTGTTGGGGAAAATCAGCGGATCGGTGTGGGCTTCATTATGCATGTATGTATTGTATGTATGCATGATAGGATCTGCTGCTGCTTCTGGTGATTGATAGGATTTGCAACGAAGATCATGACGCTTTGGCACTTTCCCCCAAACACTGCTATGCACACCGCGGGCTTCTATCGCTGAGGGTAGAGGGAAATGGGTTAGAGTTCGCGGGAGGCGCTCCCGCTGTGACATTCGCCGGAATGCTTCTCTTGCTGTGGTGCGGGGCATAGTTCTGCCTTGTGCCCCACTGTTTACACACGATCCGTGTGGCCCTGTCCTCCGCAAAGGCTGGATATGCATGGGGGGAAGCATGTTGGTCAAGTCCCTGAATCCCGCCAGTACAGAGCAAGCTTTGTTAGCCAGCGTATTCTCCTGGTGATCTCGTGGTAGTCTCTGATTGGTTTCCTGGGGTCGCACATGGTCGCACTGGTCGTGCTGGTATGCGTGGTCGTCGTGGTGGGCCGGTGGTGCTCGTCGTGGTCGTCTTGGTCGTCGTGGTCGTCGTGGTCCTCTGTCCACTGTTTAGGTTTCTGCGCTGGCAAAATTCAAACCCCATTCCAGTACAACTACCGAGACGCTTAAGGGCCCGACAAGTCCAACTACTCCCAGACGTAATACGATTCGGATATCGGTGGTGGTGGTGGTGGTGGTGGTGGATGATACCTACGTTTACCCTGCATTTGTTTATCATGCCACCTGTTCCCTATTCCGTGGCAGGCGTACAAACGATGCGGAAAAACGCGACCCGCGGATTTTGCTGTCTCTTGCCATGAAAGTTATGCTCCCCAGGCACGTGCTCATGTTGATTGTACTGACATGGTCCAGGTATACAATTCTAATAAGAAACAAAGCAGGCGAACGTGCCACAATGCGCAACATCTGGCAGCATGACCCGTATGCAGCCTTCTCCAGGCCGCATGGGTTAAGGATGTTGAAAGCACGATCCGACGGAGAGACTTGCCTGGCCGTCGGGCACGGATTCTCTTGCACGAAGTTTCTGGCACCTTGTGACTGCCAATTAATCAAGTCAGCCAAGCTGTAGTGCACAGCAGTACAAGAGCGACATCAAGCGGGCCAGAAGATGATGAAATTCTTCTACCTCCAGTGCAGGAGATCGTTGCCACGTGAGAAATGCTCGGACGCCATGCCTTGGCTTGCAGCTCGACCTTGCCAGAACCTGGAAGTAGGATCAAGAGAGCTCGGATGCGCTCCATGCAAACTGAGGAAGGTGCTGAAAGCAATCAGGCTGCTGTACGCGTTGAACCTCGGAGCATTACCCCAGTCACAACTCGGTCATGTCGGGGTGCACTTTCATGTGCTTGCAATCAAGGAACCACTCTCCGCGTGTCTTTTGCAGCAGAGTTCCACCCTCCCACCACCGATCATACGCAATTTGAAGGCGCGCAGTGAGAATGAAGATCCTGAGTGGAAATGGCCAGCATGTGCCCCAAGACTTCACCGACACGCATCCTTCCTCCCACAGCAAATAAGCTTCCGGCATGACAGCTGTGAATGTTTCCGCGAGGAGCCTGGGCCAGCAGGCGCACTTCTAGTAGTCTTCTAATCGTTGCATCAACATGGGCCAAGAAGTGAAAGCTGCCGAGGCTTCAAGAACTGAGGAGTCAGCACAATCGCCTCTGTAATCTCAGCATCTCGGCTAGCGGCACCTTCTGCTTCTGCGGCGAGAAGAAGAGACACCTGACAGGTCCCTGGGGCAAATATAGTCACACATGAAAGCGACAAGAGTCGCCCTGAGGACAACACGCCATATGTAAGCACTGCATTCCTCGGTTCTTGATACGGCAAGGGCTACGTACAAAGTGAGGGTCACATAAAGTTTCAACGACCAGCATCGGCAGAGCCATGGCCAATGCCCGCGGAAGGACTGAGGCGGACAGACCCAGCAAAAGGGAAAAGCCCCACCTCAGTCTATAGACGTCAGAAAAAGAAGTCGAGAAAAGCACTCTCGGGAGCCCTACCTGCCGCTTTCGTAGTATCTCATCTCGCTCACAGCCTGGGCAGCGGCTTGTGCGATGCATTGCAACCTACCATCGTATCTTTGGTCGGTCATCGGTCTCAAGGCCAAGGCTGAAGCATCGGGCGGCTGTGCAACTGCGGACGTCGTGAACATCTTTATGTGAAGTTGCACAGGCAAGTTGCCGCCTTCTCAGGTGCCAGAACCTCACGACGAATCCTGGCATGCCAACCGCATCATGGCGTCACGGCGTCGTTCTGGAAGCTTTGTAGTCTGTCTACGTCGTCTACGTTGAGCTGCCTGAGCTACCAATGGTCTTGTTCGTAGCTGTGCAGCTAGCCATGCCCAAAGCTTGCTTGACCGGTTCTGGACTCATTGCACGCTGAACCCTGCGGCTAAGCCCTTCCAGCTCATGTCGAAACACAACCACAGGCGCAGACACTTCGTGGCAGTCGCCCGCATGGGAAGAATGCGCACTGCAGCCTTTGATTCACCTCACCGCTGAAGCCTAGAAATTCCTGGTATTCCACAGGGCACCTCTCTCGCATAGGCCATGTATTCATCCCCAAAGAATTGTAGCAGCATTTCCTCTTCGTGCGGTATCCTGCCTGCAAAGAAGCGGAAAGAGACCCAAGAGTAGCAGAAGATGCAGACAGGGTTGATCAGAAGGATCTGGGTGGAAACGCTCCACAGGAACCATCCAACGTATCCAGGATGTCTGCACCAGCCATACACCTGGTTTGCGGCCCCCCTCCCTCGTCATATTGATGGATATTGCGAATCTAACCCAGCCCGTGATTGGAACCACAGCACGGGGCTGTTTCCTATGCAAGGAGAACAGCTCTGTTTCCAAAATCTGAAAGCTAAGAACTTGTAGGCGGGCATTGTGCAGATCAGATGCTCCATGTTGCACAAGTCTGTGGGATGGATCCTTGTAGTGGGCGACAATGTGAGTGAAGTTTGATCTCGCAGTGAAGAGTGCGGCCTTGGAGTCTGAACAGTCACGTGACACACGCAAATGGAGAACACATGAGTTTCGTTTAAACGATGCTAGATTCTAAACAAACTCAGAACCTCATCTAGATGCTCGCCATGAGAGCCAAGTGCCTGGGAGCTTCATTTTTTGATGCTTATGAGGATCGGGCAGAGAACCCCACAGGCCCTTTCAGAGTCAGTTTCTGTCCAAGTGGTTTCGAGGACTGGACAAGCCAGGCACCACTCCGCCACAGCAACGAACCTGCGAATTAGATCAGAGATGCTCCTGGCCATTGACTTTGCATGATCTTGCAAACATGCACCACACTCACTACATATGTTTGCCTTGCTTCTCTCTGTCCGAGTGGTTGGCTCTTGTTTCGCTCCAAAAAGTCCAAGGCACCGTCCTCAACGACCAGCCAGCAAGGACAAGCCCTGCACCCAGCAGGGTCAGACCTCCCACGAGGACACCTGCGGCTTCGAGGGTTTGCTTTACGTGAGAGGGGCCGGGCCCCGGCCCGGCCGGCGAGGACTCCTTTCGAGCAGCGACATGGATAGCACATAGAATCGACGAAGCGTGCAAAGGGTGTGCACCATCTGCATTTGCTGCTCTCGCAGTATGCCTAGGACGAGGTAAAGACTTTTGCCGGCTTACGTGCTGATACGAACCCAAACGCGTCAATTCCCCCTCATGTAATCGTGGTCTACATCGTCTCCGTCCATTGCTTCAGACGTCGAAAAAACTCCGAACGTGCCCTGCGGTATTGACAGAAGCGTTCCGAGTCGTCCTGCGCCCTGGACATCTGTGGACTGCGGCAAACACACACCCACACACACACACACACAGATATATATATATATAGAGAGAGATATATATATATATATATATACATATATATATATATTTTACACGAACGCATGCACGTGCTCTGCGACAGCATCATCAACATCATCTGGCGACAAGATACGCTTTCGAATGCTCGGCCTGGGAGGGTGATCCCCGATGCTTGCCACAGCCAGAACTCACATATTGCCGCAACGATGGCGATGCTGTAGCCAGCTGCCGGCACAGGCGCGAGCAGGAAGCAGCGGAACTCCTTGGCTGCCGGATCCCAAAGCAGCCGCTGTGGCAATCATGTCCTCTCCGTCGGAAACAAACTGCGAGGGATGTACTGTGCGGGTGCGAACCGGGCGCAATCGTCTTGCTGTGGCAAAGAACGGAGAAGGCGAACTCAGTTGCATGGAACAGAGTGACGGCCACAAAGAAGAGAGGCCTTCAGAAGCTCACGATATGTGGTTCGTTCTACTGATCTACTGGGTCGCTAGGCACACGATCTCACGAGAAGCCACTGTCATGCACAGTCGCATCCGTGGATCTGCCATCCTGAGGCTTGGATTAATTCGGAAGGCCATGAAACAGCCAAGTGAAATTGAAGGCTGCAACAAGGATCACAGCAAGTGAAGCCCAATAGACTGTGGAAGGCCAAGATGATGGAGTAAAATCCAAGTGGATTCAGAAGCCCGTCAAGAACAGGGAACAGCCACAAGAAAGCGGTTGCTCCTGCTGCTGCTGCTGCT